TTTTGAAAAATATATTTTTATTGATTTCAGAGAAGAATGGAGAGGGAGAGAGAAATAGAAACATCAATGATGAAAGAGAATCATTGATCAGCTGCCTCCTGCATGCCCCCTGCATGGAGGTACAGTCCAGGCATGTGCCCTTGACTGGAATTGAACCCAGGACCCTTCAGTCCTCAGGCCGATGTTTTATCCACTGAGCCAAATCAGTTATGGCACACTTTTTAAAAAACAAACAAACAACTAAATTGATAACTCTCTGGGACATTTTTAAATTTGAGGGAATTAAAGAAGTCTTTCCCAACCAGCTGGTATTGCTCAGTGATTGAGCATCAACCCAGAAACCGAGAGGTCACCGGTTTGATTCCTGGTCAGAGCACATACTCAGGTTGGGGGCTTCATTTCCAGTAGGGTGTGTGCAGGAGGCAGCTGATTGATGATGTTCTTCTCTCATCAATATTTCTCTCTCTATCCCTCTCCCTTCCTCTCTCTCTAAAAATCAATTAAAAATATTTTTAAAAATCTAAACCCCAGCCCAGAGGCCAGGCCCAGTAATCTACATTTCTAACAAGCTCTCCAAAATTATTCTGATGCAGCCAGCCTTGTATCCGTAGTTAAAAAAAAAAAAAGAGAAGTCTTTCCCAGTTCATTATAAATTGTGTTGAATGGCACTTACTTTTTCTATATCTTATTTTGTGCTGATAAGAAATTGATGTTGGTAAGCTACGAATTTCTTTGTTTGCCCAGGTGTCTATACAATGCACTATAAGACTAATCCTATCTAATAAAAGAGAAACATGGTAATTAGCGTACTACTGCTACCCTTCCCATTGGCTAATCAGGGCGATATGCAAATTAACTGCCAGTCAAGATGGTGGCCGGCAGCCAGGCAGCTGGAAGCGAACATGAGGCTTGCTTGCTTCAGTGATGGAGGACTCCAACGTTCCCTGCCTGCCGCTGCCAGCTTCTGAGCTGCAACTCTGAGCAACTATGTTACAAATATAGAAGCTAAACAAAACCCCAGAAACCTGCTTTAGTTGCCGGGCTTCAGCCAGCAGGATCACAACATTGTTTCAAATACAGAAGGTAAACAAAGGCCAGAAACCTGCTTTCAGCAGTGGAGGCCTAAGAGCTGGAGCCTCAGAGCTAAAGCTGGCCCAGAATTAAAAAAAAAAAAAGAAAAAAAGGAGCAGTTGGGAGCTTCCATCACCTGCCAGCCTGAAAACAGCCCTCAGCCCCTCACCCAGACTGGCCAGGCACCCCAGTGGGGACCCTCACCCTGAAGGGTGTGTGACCAGCTGCAAACAGCCATCATCCCCTCACCCAGGCTGGCCAGGCACCCCAGTGGGGACCCTCACCCTGATCCAGGACACCCTTCAGGGCAAACCAGCCGGCCCCACCCGTGCACCAGGCCTCTATCCTATATAGTCAAAGGGTAATATGCCTCCCAGCACCGGGATCAGTGTGACGGGGCAGCGCCCCAACCCCCTGATTGGCCCTGCTCTGTGCATGACAGGGGGTGGCGCTGCAACCTCCCCATCGACCCTGCCTTGAGTGTGATAGGGGGCGGTGCCCCAACTCCCCAATCAGCCCTCTTTGAGGCCAACCAGGGTCTGCACCTAGGGATTGGGCCTGCCCTCTGCCACCTGGGAGCAGGCCTAAGCCAGCAGGTCGTTATCTCCTGAGGGATCCCAGACTGCGAGAGGGCACAGGCTGGGCTGAGGGACCCCCCCATCCCCCGAGTGCACAAATTTTTGTGCACTGGGCCTCTAGTCCTAAATAATTATCTTTGATTTGGAGCTTTGCTGCATTAAAATCTAAGACCATACTGTAGCACTTGGTAACATTTGCATGACATTATATTATTTTTAACTTCTAATTTGTCTTGTCCTTCCAATTGGATTCTAAATACTTTCTATGAATCATTATAAGGTCCAATGACCTTGACTTTAAAATATACTTTCTTACCAGATTTGACTTGACTGTGCTTTATTGTTCTTACTGTTTTTAGCATTTAGGTAGCAAAAAGAAAAAAAATTAAGTTCTTCTCCCATATACAGAGTATATGTAACCAGAGCATGATGGATTCTAAACACCTTCTCCTGACTACATGCAGTTTTTAAAAATTGTCTGGAACAGCGGTCGCCAACCGGTGGTCCTCGAACCACTGGTGGTCTGTGAAGTCTGAAAGGTTGGCAACTGCTGGTCTGGAAGATTGAAAACTTCACTTTGAGTGAGGCAATTCTGGAAAGGCAGGGAGAGCAAGCCCTAATTCCAGTCCCACCCCTTACCGGTAAGCTCAGCTTTCCTCCACCTAGAAGCTGTCCTGGAAATACCCAGAATGGCAATTCCAGCCTCACTCATGCACGGAGTTACAGGAGAGGGAACCAAACACTCCGCTCCAGTAAGATAAGGTTGTTTCAACAACGTTAAAATCGCCTAGTAAACAAACTTTTTACATGGTTAATTGTGAATTGCTATTTCCTGGATAGAATCGAAGCAAGTTAATTTCCATAATTTCTAGGGCAGTAGGGATAAATATGGAACAAGAATATTCCCTCCTGCATTTACTATTTTCACCTTTGGATGGCCTAAGAAAAAATCCTTACATTCCTCATCAGATACAGAGGACTCCCTGCCCAAATTATAGCCTCTTAATGGAGATACTTATGTTTGGGGGAGATAATGGAAGAGAACACCTTTTATTCAATATATGTACTAGTATAGTAGAGGCCCAGTGTACGAATTCGTGCACAGGTGGGGTCCCTAGGCCTGGCCGGCACCCAAGGCTGATCAGGGCCAGGCTGATTGGGGCTGTTGGTCGGCGGGAGGGCCGGGGGATGGACCACGGGCCAATCAGGGCTTGCCAGCCGGAGGGAGGGACAGGGTGCGCAGGAGGTTGGCCACTAGCCCTGAGGAGGAAGCCGGCCCTCAGCCCCCCTGGGAAAGGGGCCGTGTCAGCTGCCACCCACCCCCGGTTCCCCATCCCAGCCCAGGGCCAAAGGCCTCGGAGGGGTCAGGAGAGGAGGCGATGGTCGCTGGGCTGAGCACAGAAGGAACAGACACTGGATGCTGATGCCACCGGCGGTCGTGGGAGGTTGGCTGTGGAAGTGCACTGACCACCAGGGGGCAGCTCCTGCATTGAGCATCTTCTCCCTGGTCATCTGTGTGCATCATAGTGACTGGTTGGCCAATCATTCCGGTCATGTGGTTGTAACGGTTGCTTAGGCTTTTATATATGACACAATTATCACCAGGGGGCAGACACTCAACGCACAGGCATGGAAACATGGAACAGACATCAGGACATCCAGCAGTTGGACATCCCCTGAGGGGTCCCGGATTACAAAAGGGTGCAGGTCAGGCTGAGGCCCCCTACCTCCCTCCATCCCCCCCCCCCCCGCCCTGCATGAATTTCGTGCACTGGGCCTCTAGTATATTTATAACATGTTTCCAGTACATGTTAGTTGTTAGGGGGAAAAATAGTTGAAGAGAATAGAGGAAGTCAGGTGTGAGTGATTAGATCTGAGATCCAGAGAGCAGAGGAACATTATAAATGGAGTCTATTGCATCTTTTATTTTCTTGGCTTTTTTTTTTTTTTTTTTTTTTTTTTTATGGATCAGTGGTTCTCAAACTTTAACTGGCATGAGAATCACCTGGAGGGCTTGTTAAAGCACAGCTTGCCGGCCCCACCTCCAGAGATTCTGATCCAGTGGGTCTGGGTGGGGCCGGAGAAGCTAACATTTCTAACAAGTTCCAGGTGATGCTGGTCCAGACCACGGGCTTGGAGGAGCACTGGGCTGGAGCCTGGAGACCATGCGCAAGGAGGCTGCATGGCTGGTGAGTTCCGGGGTCATCTTGGCATTTCTGGGATTCCTTCTCTCCCCTAACGTTTCAGTAGTGCCTGGCTCAGTCACCTTTGATGGATTTCTGAACAAAGTGAACCTTCCTAATAGTTGGCCCTTATGCACTTGGCTGGGTAGTATTAAAATTAAAGTCCAGAGATGACCCAGAAACGTCATCTGGGATTCAGTGCTGCAATCTTTTGTTCAGATACACTGAGGGAAATGGGAGTTCTTTCAGAATCTTTTCCTTTCCTAACTTGTTTCTGAATATATTGAAACTTGGAAACTAAGAAGCAGGAAATTGTTAAATAAATGCAACTGAAGGAACAAAAGGCACGACGGAGTCATCATAAGCTGGAATCCTTCCCATCAGCTGTACCTACTAAAGCTGTGCGACCCATCCCTCCCTCCCACTGCTCGAATTCAGCAGCTCCTTGCCTCTTTCCCTCCCTTGCAGGAGGGCACTCCGGGGCCTGCATATTCGGTGTCTTTGTGCCCCTCCAAATAGAAAGGGCATAAAAAGGGGCACTTTCCTCTGAGCTGATGCAGCCCACAGCCAGGAAAGCAGGACCAGGGCTGTCCTTGGGTCCCACTCACTTCTTTAGTCAGCGCCCTGGTCTAGTCCCCTGACTGTACATAGCTGCACAGGGCCCAGCACACCTACGTCCACCCATCTGGCGCCCCCACCTGCCCTGTCCACAGTCCGGGCCACCAGTATGATCTTCCGCAACCTCCATTCTGATTGCACCCTGGCTTCAAAGTCTGCGGTGAGTGTCCAGGCCTCACAGAGCTGCAGCCCTTCCCTGCTGCACCTAACACCCTTTATGATGGGAAACTTGCCTCTGTTTTCAGCTTCTTTGCCAGCCTCCTTTGCTCATAATCCCAAATCCCTGCCAATGGAGTTACTAACGGAGCTTGGATACGGCCGTCTCCTTTATGCCTCTGTGGCTTTGCACACACCATTCCTTAGACTGGAGAGCTTCCCTTTGTGCCTTTTCCCCTTTGTTTGCTTGGCCCATTTCTATTCATTCTTTTAAAAATTAATTTTAGGGGGGAGGTAGGAGGGAGGAAAAATAATTTCATGTAAAAGAAATATGGATTTATTTTTATACCTGGAAAAATACAAAGAATTATGTAAAATATATTCATAAAAAAGGTAACTGGTTCACACTTTCATTTATTTTTTTCAAGGTATTTTCTACATATGTACTTTTATGGATCATACTCAGTTTGTAACATGCTTTTATTTTTCACCTACTATTGCACTACAAGCTTTCTTCTCATTTTTCATAAATGAGTTGAAAACATTATTTAATGGCTGTATAACGTTCATATATGTTTGTGTGTGTGTATATTTCTAAAGAGTTTGTTTAACCCTTGCTTTGGCCATTTAGATGGTTTCCTTTTCATTTTTCATGCTACTATGTATAATGCTACAAAGAAGAGTTTTGTTGTTCATTATATTCCACAAGTGAGTGAGATCATGTGATACTTATCTTTCTCTGACTGGCTTATTTTACTTAGCATAATGCTCTCCAGGCCTATCCATGTTGTTGCAAACAGTAAGAGTTCTTTCTTTTTTTCGGCAGCATAGTATTCCATTGTGTGTACCACAGTTTTTTAATCCACTCATCTGCTGATGGGCACTTAGGCTGTTTCCAAATCTTAACTATTGTAAATGAAGTTTTGTACATAACTGTGCCCACCCCTCTGATAGTTTTCTGGGAGAGAATTCTAAGTTGGGGTGACCGGAACAGTAGAAAAGAACACTTTTAGGCTCTTGATCTACACTGTCAGGTTGCTATCAAGAAAAGAAAAGGTGGACACACTGACAAACTCACCAGGGCAATATTCGTGTTGCTCTTACTTCATCAGAGCCTCTGTTATTGAGAGTCATACTTCGTTTGGTCCTTGAGAATTTGATTTTAATTTCACACTTTTCTGATTAGGCAGGACATTTTTCTGCATTTATTAACCATATGTATCGCCTCTTATGTAAATCACAGCTTTGTGTCCGTTGTCCAGTTTTGAACTGGAGTCAAAATTCCTACTCATTTTCAATTCTTGCCTTAGCATCTTCTCACTGAAAGCTCTGACAATGCTTCACGTCCCCTCTAGTCAAGGCCTCCTCTTCTAACAGCTCTGTGTGCACATTCGCTATTGGGATTTCTACCCTCTACTGTAATTGTAGGAGCCTGTGTCCCCCATGGCTCCTGGGCCAGCTCTGAGTCAAATGTGTTCTTTTCCTCAGCACTAACCCTGGTACAATGTACGTGTCAATGACTAAATCAATGAAGATCAAGGAAGTGTTGATTTTTAACTTAACATGAACATCATCAGGGTAGCTTATCTCCATTTTGTAGAGAAAGGATAAATGCTGGTAAAACAGCCCATTAAACTGCTAAAGAAAGAAGTACTCCTGGAATTGTTTATTCAAAAAAGAAAACAAAACCTCTTTCTTTTTTAGAAGAAAAGTAATTTCCTCTGCAAAATATTATAAAGATGTTTATTGATTCATCTGTGACCTTTTCAGGTGACCTTGACAATGATCACAACACATCTTCCAAAAGGCGAACACAAAAAACTTCACTTCCTCCACAATAAAACATGTATGTACTCACATATTAAATATACAAATGAAAATTAAACTTTGAAAATGACTGCATTTTTCACCCCATCATACTCCCAAAATTATAATTCAGGTATTCCTAATTGGCCACTTCACAGTGTTGCTACACACACACACACACACACACACACACACACACACACACACACACGTGTATCCAGGTTAATATCATCATTGATATAAACCAAAGGTGCAAACTGGGGTTGCTGCTCTGTTGGCAATAAGTCCAATGCTCTTGTCTTTGGAAGGGATGGTTGACCCGGCGTCTCGGGTCTGTTCAAGGGCAGCCGGCTCTCCATCTCAGAGTCTGCGTGTGTCAGGGTACCAAGGGACTCTGGAGATGCTGAAAATGCCCGAATGTCCCCCATCTGTTTTTTTCACCAAAGGTAAAAGCTTTTACCTGTGTGCTTGTTTAGTTTAACAGCTGCAGTGTATCTTCCCCTCTTGTTCCTTTTTCATAGTGTTGCTAACCTTTGTAAACATTTAATGGACAATTAAAGTGCTCAGCTGTGCTCCATCTGAGCCCATCCTGCTCGTTTTAAAAGTGCAGAGCTCTCCGGAACCTCCACAAGATCTTACTGTTTCCACAAAGAGCAGAATACGGCTGTCAATAGGTAGATGTTAAGGTCCCTGCCACCACCCTCAGCTGAGGTTGACTGAGTCCTGGGCGGGCTTTTCGCTCTGCTGAATGCCCTGCGGCTTCGCACAACCACAGGGAGTAAACATGGCTCAGCTCTGCTCGGCTCTCTGGAAATTCTCACATCACTGCTTTCAAAGAAGCATAAATCCTTCCTCCCCAACATCCATTAATATGGTAAAACTGTAAAATGCAGGTACCAAAAATTGAAACAGTATTTTGTAGCCATTCCCAAATTTTGATTCCTACTGATATCCCTGCTTCAATACACCGGAAACTGCACTTCAAACGATAAACATTAATTTTTCTTCTCTGGGTAGTGGGCATAGTCACATCTTGCCTTAAACCTACTTATTTATAGCTTCGCCTCTCCAAACCCCTGACGTGGCTGTATTTCCCATCGCATTTCTCTGAGGAACATCTATAATTCAGACAGACTTAGATCAGTTGGAAAAATAATAATAAATGGGTCATTGTGATACACAATAAAAAAAGCAGGCTTCACTAGAAATGAATAAGGAATTTTAAGAACACCCATCACATAACTGTAAACAGTGGTGCTTCTACTGGTGTAGACCCAGCCGTCTCAAGGCCTCTCTAGAAAACGAGGGACACCAAATACAAATGTTGGAACAATTAATGTCATTGCTTTAAAACTTTTAACGTTGCTCACAACATTTAAAATCTAGTCACTAGTAATACCTTGAAATGAAAAAGAAAATGTACCTAACTGGTTCAAGTATATACTAGAGTAAGAATGCCTTGTTAGGATATCAAATACTTTTGAAAACACATTTAGATGTTTTGTTCTGGGAGATAACTTCGGAGGGTTTAAATGGAAATGTTGTTAGCATGGTTCTTTGATGGTAAATGGGATACGTTCCTCAGCTTACCGGACGCTGTAAGACTTTCCATCTGAGTTTGGCAGGCATTGATGTGCCTGTTTCTATACGTAAGCGGCCTTATGAAAATCTTGTGAAAAAACATTCGAAATGCTGATGTCCTGAAAATGATGAAAATCCAAGGGTCCACAATTGAGATCACAGATATAAAACGCAAGGCACTGAGGTCTCCGGCTTCTTCAGAAGTTCTGTTTTTCTTGGTGACAGCTTTAAATGCTCCATAGTAAGCACGATACTGTGTTAAAGGGAAAATATATCCATTATAATGTTGAAAGGTTGATGGCAGCAATACATTCACTTATTTCAATCAGGATACATCACTTTTCTGTAAGAATATGGCAGCTCGGCTTGGAATATGCATTTGGGGAAAATTTACTGCAGCTGATGGGTGCAAGTGAAGAGCCTGGACGGTGCAGAGCCAACATGGGAGGCTCCGTGGAAGTGGGGACTCCTGGGAGTCCCGGTCTAAGTCCCTAGAGCAGTGGTTCTCAACCTTCCTAATGCCGCAAACCTTTAATACAGTTCTTCATGTTGTGGTGACCCCCAATTTCATTGTTACAAATTGAACATAATTAAAGCATAGTGATTAATCACAAAAACAATATGTAATTATATATGTGTGTTTTCCGATGGTCTTAGGCGACCCCTATGAAAGGGTCGTTCGACCCCCAAAGGGGTCTCGACCCACAGGTTGAGAACCACTGCCCTAGAGGCTGTTCTACCTGCTGTGAGCATGGGAGTTTCTAGGTCCCTGCCTGGCCCAGCAGAGGAGGAGCTGAGGTGGGACTAATCCAGTCCACTGAATCTTTTACAAACACGTCCATAAATACTGAGGTTCTCCTCCCATATTCCCTTCAGTTCTCCTTTCTTTCTTCTGCCTACTTCCTATCCTCTCTTTTAAAAAAAACCAAACAAACCTATATTTTTATTGATTTCAGAAAGGAAGGGAAAGGGAGGGATAGAAACATCGAGGATGAGAGAGAATCATTGGTCGGCTGCCTCCTGTAACGCCCCCTACTGGGATCGAGCCCACAACCTGGGCATGTGCCCTTGACTGGAATTGAACCCGAGACCCTTCAGTCCGCAGGCTGAGGCTCTATTCTCTGAGCCAAACCGGCCAGAACCCTATCCTCTCTTATTAGTCAATTCAGAAATAAGTCACCCTTGTGAAATGTCACACGTACAGAGACATCAATGAAATAGCAGCGTCTAGGGCAGTGGTTCTCAATCTTGGCTGCACATTAGAATCACCTGGGAATCTTTTTAAAATCCTGATTTCTGGGCCTCATCCTCTGGAAATTCTGTTTCTTTGTTATGGGGTGGGGCCACAACATTAGTAACAAAGACACAGAATTGCCGGAGGATGAGGCCCGGAAATCAGGATTTTAAAAAGATTCCCAGGTGATTCTAACATGCAGCCAAGGTTGAGAACCACTGGTCGAGGGGCTGTGAAGAGACAGGAAATACTCCAATGAAAGACAGGAGACCTGCAAAAGGACCTGGCCAACTCATGTTAATTACTTAGCATAGATGGTTACCTTTCCGAGGTCAACATCCTCTTTTCACACTAGGGAAAAAAAACACACACATAGAAATATAAGCCTACTTACCTGTGCCCAGTCACTCCTACTGCCTCGATCCTCTCTGAGGTCTCTGTGGCCCCCTCAGAGCCTGCAAACTACTGAAGGGCTTTTCCTGCCATTCAGCCAACACTGCTGCCTAGCCCAGCACTACCACTACCTCCCTCTCCTCTGGAGGCCAGCCACTTTTTCATGATGCTATTATACTCGCTGTGCCTACTGAGATTCTAAATCCATAATGGGACAAAATGGACCCTAATGGGACAGGAAATAGGCTAACTCAACATTGGTGGGAGGAGACATGAATAAGTGCACAGACCACACCCACTTAGGGCAATCAAGGGACATCTGCTGGAGAAGATGTGTTTTCCCATCATTGTTTCCTTACTTTTTTGCTCTCTCTCTACAGAGCATTTTGGTGGCCTCAGCCACTCCCATCTAGTACACTCAGGAAGATATACCGTGACGGGAAGACCTCTCGCATCATCTGGGCTTAATAATACTAATAGTGACAATAATAGCTAATGCCCATGTCCCCAGGCCCTGTTCTAAGCATTTTACTTTGAAAACATCATTTCATCCTCATAACAATCCCATGAAGGAAGTACAACCATTATCTCCATTTTAGAAGTGGAAACTGATTGCTTGCCCAAATCCTATTGCCTCTCAGGACCAACCGCAAATATCACCCACTTCAGGGAGTCCCAGTGAAGTAGTGGCCACGCACACCAACTTCCGAGCCGGAGTCTCCTGGTTGGAGTCCCCTCATTGGCTGTGTGACTTCGGGTAAGTTATTCCGTCCCCTCAGCTACACAGTGGGGATACTTGTACTTACCTTCCAGGATTGTCAGGAAATTTGAATAACATGGTATGAGTAAAACCTTGACAACAAGTCCTAGCATATAATGGGAACTCAATAATTAGCTATTATTGTTATTATTTTATCAACTAGGAGAGGACCTCTTCCTTCTCTAAACTCCCTTATGGGCCTAATTACTCCCACCCATCCCGTTATTATAGCTTGTGTGGGCAAATGTGATGTTTTTCTCATTTTATATCTCCACAGTGACTTACAGTATATTGACTGTTGTAGGTAACAGACATGTGCTGGATGGATAAATGGCTGACAACAGGCTATGCAATTTGGTTGATTTAAAAAGCAAATGCTTACATGAGTCCATCTTTACATTCGTTCCTTTCTTCTCGAAGTGTAGTGCAGCAAAATGTAATCCCAAATATGTGAAAATACTAGACTAGCTGGGACCTTGGTAAATGAATGGTACTTATATAATTAAAACAAATCATTTTATTTTTAAGCAGTATTTGTCCAAGTTAACCCTATTGTATATTATTAGGTTAATTGTATTTTCAAGTCACCTGATTTGTAATAGAAGTGTATTGATATGTACCTGGACTTTTAATTTAATATAATTTATTTTTAACTTTTTAGTTTACTAACAATATGACAACTTCATTTATGGCAGTGATCAAAGTACACATTCTATTAATTCTTACAAATTATCAATTTGAACACAATTTCGACTTTTGAAAAATCTCTGTCCATCAAAAGTATTCTCTAGAACAGTGATGGCGAACCTATGACACGCGTGTCAGAGGTGACACGCGAGCTCATTTTTTTTGGCTGATTTTTCTTTGTAAAATGGCATTTAAATATATAAAATAAATATCAAAAATACAAGTCTTTGTTTTACTATGGTTGCAAATATCAAAAAATTTCTATATGTGACACAGCACCAGAGTTAAGTTAGGGTTTTTCAAAATGCTGACACGCCGAGCTCAAAAGGTTTGCCATCACTGCTCTAGAACATACTTTATAAACTGCTTCTATAAGAGAGGCTAAAATACTGAATAACCTCAGAATATACACCTGGCATTTTTTAAGTAGGTCAATTTACACAGAGAATCGGTGTGAGAAAAGCGCCCTCTGTTGGATTTAGAAGTCCTGGAGGAAATGTTGCTATTGCCAACTCTGGAGACCTATCTTAGCGGGATATTTCCGTTCTCAAGAGCTCTCTTGATTCTAAGGCCCTCTTCTATCCAGTCCACCCATCACAATACTCTGCCCTCTGCTCTAGCCCTTTAAATCCACGCCTGACCCTTTCCCCTGGGCCCGATTCTTGCCTACCAATCCTTACATGCCTCTAAGAGCCTCCTGTGGAAAGAGCATCCTGCCCCTTCTTTCTGCATCAAAATGAAACACACACAGGCGTTATCTCAGTACACGCAGGGTGTCCTCCACCGCTTCTCTGGCTCCACGGACTGGGACATATGCAATGACTTATCTTCACGTGGCTGCTAGACCTCTCAGTTATTACCTCTAACTTACACATGAACACCCTCTCACCCACCGCTGCTCCTTACCAACCTCCAATACATTGTGGTTTTCTAAGATAAATGTAATTTTGATGAGAATATGTTACCCACGTTAGAGAACGTGCTGAAAACGGCCTCTAAAGCTCATGTATTTGCTCACTTTCTTCCTACTGTATCCAATTGGAAATTTGAAAATTCAACCTAGTTAAGTATCATGCTCTAGTTCAGCACCACAGCAAAGTTAATTTTAAAAAGCATATTCCAACACACTTTTCATCAGCTTAATGAAATGCAATACTTATGCTATGAATACAAGTGTTTCTTAAAGTTTCCCCCCTTCCCCTAGATCCATTCCTTGAAGAGCGATTTCCAAAGTGTGGGGGTCTCTAATGCCCTTTCAGTGTGTCTGCAGGGTCAACACTATCTTCATAAAAAAGACATGGTTTGCCTTTTTGCCTTTCGTCCTCTCAGAGGTACACAGTGAGTTTTACGGAGGCTACCTGACGTATGATGACATCCATTCCATTGCCAGGGCTAATGGAATATGTGCTGGCATATTCTTGTGTTTTCTAGAGCTTTCTAAGGTAGTTGGTTTAAGAAACACATCTGTGCATTTTCAGAGACTGTTCTCCGTACCTCTGTGCTCTTAACATGCTTTTGTTTTTCTGTTTTACCTGCTATCTTTATCATTCACTTAATCATTTTTGAAATCCCAGCTTTCTCCTTGCATCTTTGCAAAAATAAAAGAAGTACATTTTGTTAACTTGTTTTGAAATCATATTTTAGAATTTTTCTTATTTTTAATTGCTAACATGAGAAATACTGATACATATAATCCACATAAATGAAAGCTCTTTGGGTCCTTAGTAATTTTTAAGAGTAAAAAGGGGTCCTTGGACTAAAACAAGTTTGAGAACCATTACCTTAGAATATAATGCTGTCTCCTGAGGAGACCATATTTCTTTTTTGTTTGTTTGTTTTATCCATTTTATTATTTTTTTCTTTATTGTTTAAGGTATTACATATGTCTCGTTTCCCCCCTTTGACCCCTCCCTGCCACTCCTGCCCCCTAGCACATGCCCTCACACCCCTAGTGTCTGTGTCCATTGGTTATGCTCATATGCATGCATACGAGTCCTTTGGTTGATCTCTTACCCCCCGCCCCCCACCTTCCTTCTGAAGTTTGATGGTCTGTTCAATGCTTCTCTGCCTCTGGATCTATTTTTGTTCACCAGTTTATGTTGTTCATTATATTCCACAAATGAGTGAGAGCATGTGATATTTATCTTTCTCCGACTGGCTTATTTCACTTAGCATAATGCTCTCCATGTCCATCCAGCGACCATATTTCTTAACGTTCTATGGCCAGCAGGCAATAATAAGTGGAAATAATAATAATTAGGGATAATAGTGACACTAATTTTTTAGGCCAGGTGCCTGGATAGGTGCTATATATACAGGGTTTCCCCCCAAAATGTATCCACACTTTAATAGCTGATAGCTCAATTTTGAATGTATTTTAACAACACTGCCTTTATAATTATTCAAAGTGTGTATATGTATATTATGGAAATATATATATATATATCTTCAGATCTTTATAGCTATCTTACAGAGCAAGTATGGTTATCCTTGCCTGAGAGAAATTGTGGTTAGAAAGGTAACTAAGCTGCTGTCATAGCTAGTTAGGAACGCACCTTAATCACACCTGTGTCTGATGCGGATTTCCTATCCTTTCCAGAAAATGATAGTTCCTGTGGAGAATGCTGTCTGCATTGCATATCTTTGGAATTTTACACACGCTTTAGGAAATCATTTTCAAATCCACTATTCCCATCAATCCTCGAAATCCCATATGAGTCACTTAACTCCCCTTGGAGATAATCCAGATATGATGCTCTTTCCCTGTATTATGCTGCTTTCGGCATTGTTCTACCTAAAGCACTCAAGCTCAGGATATAATAGCCAGGCACTTGGCTGTCGTCTGCTTTTATCACAGCATAAGTAAATAAGACTGTTGCTTAGAGCAGGGGGTCTGCAAACATGTTCTATTAAGAGCTGGACAGTAAATATTTTCTATTTTACAGGATAAAAAGCAAATAGTGAATATTCGGGGGGTACTTATATGATGAGAGAAGACACATGTCCTACAACTTTTATTAATGAAATTAAAAATCCTATATAATAAAAGGGTAATATGCAAATTGTTCCCTCCACGGGGAGTTCCTTGGGGAGTTCAACCAGGGGGCGGGGCTGCTGGCCAACCGCCTGGACCCCAGCCATGCATGAATTCGAGCACCCAGCCTCTACTGTAATAATAATTAAGTATAATAATTATTATTTTTTTGGTAATACATGTCTACTAAGGAGAATAATAAGAATCTTTTTTTCTTGGAATAATGTTTGGCTTAACTGGGGGTTCAGAGTTCGTGTGTCCTATCATCAAATTGGTTGCAAGTGTTCATTTGTAAAAACTATTCTTAATCTCATGGCTGTACAGAAACAGTGGGCAGGATGGACTTGGCCTGTGGGATGTGGTTGGCCAAGTCCTACTTCAGAGTGTGGTTCTCCAAATGTGATCCCTGGATCAGCAGCTCCCACCTCGCCTGGGAACTCGCCAAGAATGAGAATTCTTCAAAAACGTCTGACTCAGAAACTCTGGGGAATGGAGTCCAGCTCGCTATGTTTTTTAGAAGTCCTGCTGATGATTCGGAGCATGGTGAAATTTGAGAACCACTGCTAAATATCTACACCTATATCCATATCTATTTATATAGCTACAGATTTATTGACTTATTTGGGGCGCTCTGATCCTAACTCTGCATGATGAAGCTATAGACACCTCCCCACCCCCCCCCACACACACACTCCTTAAAGCCTTCACTTAAGGGAAAATCACATCATATGTCACTTTCATCCACCCTTGAAAGTAACATCCAAAATTGCTACGTTGCTACAAGAAATGTAACTTTCCTATTCACAGAAGTCTCAAGAACTCCAAAGGCATTGAATTGGCAGAACATCTGTTTAAATGTTGCTCATGTTGAACAAATACAGCGGTGGGAGTGGGGGCGGGGGGCGGCCTGTGGGGAGGAGTGACACTGAAAAGGTTTTCTCAAGCCTCAGCCACACTCTCAGGTGTCTTGGCGGGACCCCAGGAGGAAATACCTTCAATCTCCACCCCCACCCCCTTTAGTTAATTGAAACCAGAGATAATGGCTTTCCTGTCACCTCGGTTGCCAAGACAGAAAGAAAACCAACCTGTCCAGACAGGTTGTCAAAATGACACCAGTGACTGAAAAGTACTTTCCCAACAGCCTCTCCGCCTCAGTCACCACGACCCATGCGGGCAGCAGCACCAGACACAGCACCGGGCTCCTCTAAGCTTACGCAGGAGTTTGGAAAAACTAAACCTATGCTTTCAGCCACTCGCCTCTGCACACCAGAATCACACCTTCTCTGATTCCCTTTCCACGCCAAAACCCGGGAGCAGAACTCCCAGATCCCATTCGATCACTACGGATGCCATTACAAGCATGGACAGGTCTAATGAAATCAAACGTTAGTCACCCGGAAGCAGGAGAGGACCCCTGTGGAAGTTCCTAGTCGCAGAAATAACTCCTACCTTCCCAGAGGGAAGCAGAGAGGAAAGGGTTCTGCCAACCGGAGAGGTTTCGCGGGGCCCCGGGCCACCCAGGGACTCGGTCTTTCCCCGGCTTTCTCTGACTTTCCCTCTTCTCACTCAACAAACTGATCCTGTGTCCTGGGGCAGTGGAGGGAGGGAACCCGATGTGGGGAGCTCAGCAACCAGCCCTCCTGGCCCGGGGCGCAGGTCTCTGGCGCCGCGTCGAGCGCGCTCCACCCTCCCGGCCCCGCACCCGCGCCCGCAGCCCTCCGCGCTCCCGGCACCCGCGGCCTCGGCGAGGAGCGACTCACAATTAGAGGCAGGAAGCACAAGGTGAAGAGCACGGTCATGAGGGCCAGCAGCAGGAGGTGATCCAGCTCCTCCAGGGGCGGCGGGGACGCCACCCTCTCGCCGGCGCCGGGCTCCACGCGGTCCCGGGTGAGCGAACGCCGGCGCCGCCGCAGCCGCCGGTGCATGGAGTAGAGGCTGCGCATGGCGCTCAGGTTGCACAGCACGATGGCGAGGACCAGCAGCGCCAGGAGGCTGGCGTAGAGCACCGAGTAGCCCAGCACCGACGGCGAGCGCTCCTCGTGCCCCATCTGGATGAAGCACCAGGTGCCCGGGCAGTACTGCACGAACTTGCCGAAGCCCGCGAAGGGCAGCGCGCAGAAAGCCAGGCAGAAGGCGCCCACCACGGGCGCCACCAGCGCGCCCCGGCGCGGGGTGATGTGCCGTCGGTAGAAGAAGGGGTGCCCCAGGGAGAGCCAGCACTCCAGGGCCATGGCCAGGAGCTGCAGCGTCGAAGCGAGGCCGAAGAAGGACATGAAGAAGGCGAAGGCTTGGCACAGAGAGCTGCCCGGCGGGGGCACCAGCCCCCACAGGCTCCGGTTCTGCGCGTAGGCCGCCAGCACGAAGGGGCTCAAGAGGGACTTGCCCAGCAGGTCGGTGACGGTCAGGCCGCACACCAGCACGTAGAAGACCGAAGGCGGCGGGCGCGGCGAGCGCAGCGAGCAGGACGACAGCCCGGAGCGCGCCAGCAGCCCCAGGGCCAGCAGGTTGCCCAGGAGGCCCGCGCTGAAGAGCACCCAGCCCATGGTCGCGGAGTAGCCCTTCTCCACCGAGGTGGTGTTTTGGCAGCGGAGGAACGACGGCTTCATGGCGGGCGGCGTGGAGGCGGCGGGAGGGCCGGGGCCCCCGCGTCCGGGGCTGAGCAGATCCTGGCCGCTCCGCGTGCGCCGCAGAGGAAGCTCCGTGGGCTGCCGGGTGTGCCCAGCAGGCACCTCCTATCTAAACTCTCTCGGGGCACACCCCTCCGAGGGGCGGGACGCGCGGCCAGCTGCGCACCGGGCACGGGCGGTGAGGGCGCGCGGAGCAGCCGAGAGCGCAGCGCTGGGTCCCGATGCTCCGGGTCCTGCGGGAGGACAGACTCCTGCCCAGAGCCGAATGGGAAGAAGGAAAGCTGCGCGCACCCCGGCCAGTCCTTCCTAGGAGTCCAGAAAGCTACTGAAATGAGGGGAAACGAAGCAGCAGCTACTAGGGAGGAGGGGTGGCGGAGGCGGCGGTGGCGGAGGTGGCGGAGAGGAACGCTGAAGAGGAGGGCAGTGAGGAGGCTGAGAAAGGGCCACCACCTAGTGTTTGAATTAGTGGGTTCGGGAAGGGGTGTGGTAACTAACATTTGCTTAACACGAAGCCTGAGCTGGAATTCTCTTCTGGATCTGTGCACCAGCGAGCACTAACTTGCATGGCATAGGCGAGGAAATGGAGACTCTGGAAGGTTAAGTGATCTGCCCAAGGCGACAAAGCTAGGAAGGGGCGAAGCTGGACCTGAAACCCGGATCTTCTACTTATAAAGTCCATCTGTCTTGGCTTCTCCTCCTGAGTTCGGCCAGGTCTCAGGGAAGTGGCTGCAGGGAAAACCAAGGGAGATATTGGCCTTGCTTGCCGTGAATCACAGTGGCGGTGTGCGCATGGTGGGAGGCGTATGGGTAAGAACACTGGTGCTGTCATCCGGTGGATGGGTTCAAATCCTAGTTCTGCTGCTCGCTGCCTGTGTGACCTGAGGGACTCAACCTCTCAAAATATGACACCTAGCCCGCCAGCTTGGCTCCTTTGAGGCACAGGGATAACATTTAAAGCGCAGACACACAAAAAGTGCTCAGTACATGCAATTGTCAGGGTCCTCACGTGGTTTTAGGAAGGCTGTTTTAGTAGCTGATATTTAACTGCAGTTCTTAGCATGGATCTGAAAACCAAAAGGTAGGAAACTCCACTTAGAGCTTCCTCACTCTGGTTGGTGACTAGGAGAAAAACATGCCTTTCCTCCCAGCCTTTGACTTGGCTGCATCAGAGAGGCAAGGGAGCTGTGGTAAGTGTGATTTATTTCTTTAGTTATCACTTCATGCCCTAGGAGAGGAACTAGCTCTGTGTGTGGAATTTGAGTGGGATGCCAGGGTTCATCGTACATGAGCAAGTACATACTGCCTTGGCTCCAAGAAGCTAATTTTTAGGCTCAGTGCCTGTTTATGATGGACAGACTCAAGGAGAGAGCAAGACCCTGGAGCTTGGATGTGAAAGCCTTAAGCATAGCCAGGGAGGCTGCCTCCTGAGAAAGCCTGGCCGGTAATTCTGGCCATGGGGTGGAGCCAAAGAGTCCAAGCTTTGCAATTCGCTCTGAACTCTACCACTAGCTGTGTGCCCCCGGGTTACTTTACTCCAGTGGTTCTCAACCTTCCTAATGCCGCGACCCTTTAATACAGTTCCTCATGTTGTGGTGACCCCCAACCATAAAATTATTTTCGTTGCTACTTCATAACTGTAATTTTGCTACTGTTATGAATCGTAATGTAAATATCTGATATGCAGGATGTATTTAGGCGACCCCTGTGAAAGGGTCCTTCGACCCCCGAAGGGGTCGCGACCCACAGGTTGAGAACCGCTGCTTTACTCAATCCCTGAGTTCCTTCCCTCACAAGTAGGATACAGTAAAACTAATTCAGGCGAGGGGGTGTCTGTGAAAGCCGAAAGTCCATTATATAATAAAGCAGGTTTTCCAAATGTATATGTTAAAACATTGACAAATTAGTTTACCTGCTTTTACTTACGTAGACACATTTGTATAATTAAAATTAAGTATGTATGAAAAGTTTAATTTCACAGAAAAGCTTCCTATATGTATCACTGTAATTTTAAAGTTATACTGAATAGGTCTAGTAAATGCGTGCACTCAGCAGTCACCGCAAGTAAACACATACCCACAGCTTAGCGCAGGTGGGAACGTCGGCCAGCAGGCATTAAAACTTCTCCAGAGCCCTAACCGGTTTGGCTCAGTGGATAGAGCATCAGCCTGCGGACTCAAGGGTCCCAGGTTCGATTCCAGTCAAGGGCATGTACTTTGGTTGCGGGCACATCCCCAGTAGGGGTTGTGCAGGAGGCAGCTGATCGATGTTTCTCATCAATGTTTCTGACTCTCTATCCCTCTCCCTTCCTCTCTCTAAAAAATCTATAAAATATATTTTTTAAAAAAAACTTCTGCAGAACCAATTACCTTACGCCATGGGGTGTGATCATGTGCTAATCATTCACTGAACATTGTTTATGAGCAGTGACTTTTGGATTTAAATATGTAGACTATAGTTGTAGATATGTAATATGTATGTGGGTGAAATTACTACAGTGTTTTTTTCCAACATATGGCCTATTTGCTAAAATTTGTTAAAAATAACAGTGAATAACAAAGAATTAATCTGTTAATTTGGTTTTTAGAAAATCTTGGTTAAAAGCATTTTAAAATTAATAGGGTGTTAATTTTCACATATGGCATATAGACGAAATTTTTATTCGTTAAATCCAAATTCTGTAAAATCAAGGTCCGCAAAATCGAGGGTTTACAAGCGTGGGATTGATGCTGACCTCATGGTGTTGTTGTGAAGTTCAGAAAGCATTTAGCAAAGAGCAATAGTAATAATATGAGTGAATATTTATAGGTCCTTATATGAGTATATGCTGGACACTCTCTAATCCATCCACATCTATTCGCTCAGTTAATAGAAAGCCTTCCACATGGTTAGTCCCCTCTCATCCCCACCTCTCGCCACCCGCTCAGCCTCTAATGGATAGTGATGGGTTTAGAGGAGCCCCACTTGAGTTGATAAAGCCAAAGGAGAAGGTCTTACAACCAAAGACACAAGAATCTAATGAAATCTGATGCTCCCTCTCCAGACAGACAGACAGACAGACAGACAGACACACACACACACACACACTCACTCACTTTACACCAATTACAGGGTGTGCAGTTTCCTGAAATCCCACTATGGTGCCAGGAGGAGGACCAGTGACTCTAGCTGAAAAGTCCTCCTCTAAGACTCTGGCCAGTGTGGTTCAGTTGGCTGGAGTGTCATCCCGTACACTAAAAGATCTCAGGTTCTATTCCTGGTCAGGGCACTTGGGTTGTGGGTTTGGTCTCCATGTGGGGCACTTGTAGGAGGCAGCCGATCAGTGTTTCTCTCTGACGTTGATGTTCCCCTCTCACATCAATGTCTCTCTCTTCCTCCTTTCCTCTCTCTAAAAAAATTATTAAACATATCCTTGGGTGAGGATTTAAAAAAAATCCTCCTTTAAAGACATGGTAAGTGGTGCTCTGTGAAGTGTACCCACTCCAGTTCTTGGCAGCCTTATTTTTCTGTTACAGCTGCCTCCACCTCCATATCCCTTCCAGGAGCAATGCACAGGGACAGAGGAGCCCAGCATTATAAATAACCTTTTCAAAATCACTCCAGAGTGTGACTGAAGGGACAGTTATGGACCTGGCATGCTATATATATGGTATGCTTCCAAGTTCATGGCTTTGAACGGGTACAATTCAGGAAACCACACATTTCCTCCTGGCCAACGTAGCTGGCCTTTACCATGGGTTTCCGGCTGCTTTCCTGCCGGCTTCGCTCTTGTTCACCCTGTCCTGTTCTCAGGCTTAAGTTTAGAATCTCCTGCCCTAAGCAATCTTATTTTACAACTTCACTGTTCAGCCAAGAAATATATCATTGTTCATTCATCAAGTATGGTTTGAGCTTTTACTTTGTGCCAGGCATGGGGTAAGGAGCGTGGGAATGTGACTCTTACATGACTATAAATTTTAGATCAGCTTTCAGAATAACAAGGCTGATTTTTTTTTCTAAGAAGGAAACTTTTAAAAAAAAAAAAATTTGGCATGCAAAATTGTAGATTAGTATTTTCCTCCTTCTTGTATTTACATTTTATTTTTTAAAATTTTAAAAAATTACAGTTGACATTCAATATTATGTTAGTTTCAGGTATACATAATAGAGGTTAAACCTTTATATAACTTATGAGGTGATTCCCCCTGGTAAATCTACTACCCATCTGCACTATATTCCCTATACTGTAGTTTACATCCCCATGACTATTGTATAACTTCCAACTTATATTTCTTAATCCCTTTTCCTTTTCCTCCAAGCCTCTCCCATTTGGCAACCATTGGTTTGTTTGTTCTCTGTACCTATGAGTTTGTTTCTGTTTTGTTGGTTTATTTATCGTTGAGATTCCACATGTAATGAAATCATATGATATTTGTCTTTCTCTGTCTGACTTACCTAATTTGGCATAATATCCTCTAGGTCCATCCATGTTATTGCACAACTTCCTTTTTTTCTTTATGGCCGAGGATTATTTCATTGTATATATTTACCACATCTTCTTTACCCATTTGTATAATGATGGACACTTAGATCGCTTCCTTATTTTGGCTGTTGTAAATAATACTGCAATGAACATAGGGATGCATGTGTCTTTTTGATTAGTGTTTTGGATTTCTTTGAACAAATACCCAGAAGTGGAATTGCTGGGTTGTATGGTTAAGAGGGAAACTTTGATTTTTAAATATATATATTTTTAATGTATTTATTTCCATCACCATTTATCCCTCCTATACCCTTAGGCACCTCCCACCACATTTTTTTAAAATCCTCACCTGAGGATATATATATATATATATTTGATTTTAGAGAGAGAGGAAGGAAGAGACAGACAGAGAGAGAGAGTGAGAGAGAGATACTGATCGGTTACCCCGTGTACACACCTAACTGGGGATCAAATTCACGGCCTTCTGGTGTACGGACAATGCTCCAACCCACTGAGTCATGTGGCCAGGGATAAGAGGGAATCTTTTAATGAAAATATGTTGGACCCAGATACATGGTAAAATTATCTTCGTTATCTGAAGATCTGTACCAGGCTGCTTAATTCTAAGACATCTGGAAAAATATATATGGCATAATGTGAACAAATTTGAATATATAATTATATTGTGATTTTGTAAATGTAAAAACCCGATTCCTGCTTTTTAGGGTCCCTCCACCTTTTGTTCAGTAAGAAACACCTTTTTGATATCTTTTGCTATCAAAGTGAGAGAGATTACATCCTACCCAGATTCTAGGGAATGGGTGTGTCCTGGCCAAACTCAGGTGACTTTTTGTTTCCAGAGCATACTCTCAGTTTTAGCTTGGCTGTGGTTTAAACTGTAAATATTAGCATGGATTTCAAAAAAAATCTATGGGTG